AGTATGATTCCATCTATAGAGAATCCTGAAAATAGCCCTCAAAACTAAATTATATTATTTGGAGATACATCTCTGGGTGATAAAACTATAAAGCAGAGCAAGAAAGTGATTACTATCGAATTTAGGATAGACGTTAACTCTAAGGGGAAGTAAGTGGTTATGATGGGGAAGAAATATACCGGGGATGGGGGCTTGGGGGTGAGCTGTAAACACATTGGTGACATTTCTTTTTAGTAAGCTATGTGGTGGTTTCACAGATGTTTATATTTTTTATTTTCTATACTTTTATTCATTATACTCTCTTATATATAAAATATTTAAAATATTTTTAATGATTTTTTTGGAAAGGGGTAAAAGATAAAAAAAGAAAAGAATCCATAGATGCTTTAAAAGCATAAAATGTTCCTCGAAGATATTTGTCTGTTTTCATATGGTTCTTTCACATTATCTTTCCTGCTGTAATTTCCAGTCTGTCAGCTAAAGTCTTAGTCAAGGCATTTTCTACTGAAATCTAAGATTCTGAAAAAGAAAGAATATGATGAAAAATCTCAACAAATCTTAATTGTTGCCTCAAGGTCAGGCTATACGGGGAATGTGGTATTTAGTTTTACCACAGACAAGCTCCCTGGAGGCTGCTAAGTGGTGGCTGAGATTGGTTGGAGATGAGGGTAGGTATGTAAGAGGGAGGCCAGCTAACATGTCACGCTTTGCCACTTCCAAGGGCTTTCCACATGGTCTCCTTTGAGCCTCACCCAAGCCCTGTGAAAAGATCTTACTTCTTCTCTTTTACTCATGAGATTGCTAAGCTGCATAGAACTTAAAGGACTTTGTCCAGAGTCTCAAGTTCGGGAAATGACAGGGCACAACACAGTCTTAAGCCAAGATAGCTTAAAACGAGACTATCTCTGGCTGTGGGAAATTAATCACCTAAAAGCCAGTGGAGAATATGTCTTTGGGGGAAAGGAGCCTCCCCATCCCTTGGGAATCATGCAGCATAACATGACTTCCTATGCCATCTTCTCACTCGTTCCTCCTTTCGTAGACTAGCTTACTTAATAGAGAAATTAAAATGGATGAGACCCAAGTAAAATCATGTTTTCCTCCTCCAATCCAGACTACTGGTTTACAATCTCATTTATGCTTCTTTCATTGTCCTCCAAATTGATCACAGCCCTGAATTCCTAGTAGGTGCTAAATATCTTCTTATAATAAATCCCAGTGCCCAGATCTTAATAGAGCATTGATCTATTTCCAAAAGTCAGAAAGAGGCATTTTTCTTCTCCCGAAAGGAAGTTAATCAAATGGAAAACTCACTAATCAGGATGTAGACTTGCATTTTGGAATAGTGCCAAGTAAATATTCAGTGACTGGCATTATGTTGCAGTGGTTAGGATTTTGAATCGGGATCAGATCCCCTGGGTCTGCAACTCAGCTCTGACACTAACCAGGTGACCCAGGGCAGGTTATTTAATATGTCTGGTTTAGTTTCATCATAGGTGAAATGGGAATAATAAGGTAGCTTCCCTATGGGTTTGGTGCAGGAATGAAATGAGGCAATTCCGGGTTAGTGCTTAAAACAGAATATAGCAATAAATTCAAATGTGCCTCCTCATGTCTGCATTCAGAGACATCTGAGTTATGGATGTAGAGATCAAGGTGACTGTGGGGCTGAATTCAGAAATTACAAAGAGAAGTGCAATGAATTGGCTACACAACTCTTGAACTCCCAGCCTCTTTGAAACTATCAAATGGAAGGAGAGGAGAAAGAGAGTAACCATTTATGAAGGGATTTCTTTGGAGGCAGCCATTGTAGGTTCCTTTTTGGGGTGGGAAGTTGGGATGTGTGGTCTTATTTTCCTTGAATCCACTGTTTTTTAGTGAGAAAAGGCTTCAACAGGACCACTTTGAGATCTTGATGTACCTTGTCTGGAGCTGGAGGACATTGTGGAGAAGACCTGACTCCTGCTCTATTCATTACTAGGGCTGTTGAGACAGAGATCAGCTAAGTGCTTGGGTAGCAGAGGAAGGACCGTGCTGCTGGGTTAGGGGCAGCTGCAGAGGCGTTATTTGTCAGGGCAAAGGATGCAGCAGCATTCTCCATTAACCAGAGGCAGACTACCCAGAAGAGAGAAAGTTTCCTAGTACTACTGCTGTCAGACAGAGTTGCCTGAGAGGGCTGGAGCCCCCCGCAGCTAAAGCTGACAAGGACTGTCAGTGTGTTAGAGGCTGTGAAAAGGATCACATGTGACCACCTATTATAAAGAGGCATATATTGGTTCAAGTTTACTGCAAGAGGGCGGGTCCATCCAAGCCTCTACAGTGAGATTTGGGAAGAATCAAGAAAGTGTTCCAGGGAGAAATGCCAGCTTTTTTGACATTTGTCAGGTACAGAGAGCTGTTCAAGGAAGACATTTCCTAGCCATCTCTCACCCCTCCCTTCGCCGTAGCTCTGGCCTCAAAGGGTCCGAAACTGGCTAGCAAACCGGCTGGTTGGATTAGGGTTCTTTAGAGAAACAGAACCAGTAGGGCTCTGTTGTGTGTGGAGACAGAGATGATAGAGATAGAGGTAAGATATGTGTCTAGCGAGATGTTTATTTTAAGGAATCGTGGGACCTGGAAAGTCCAAAATCTGCCAGGTTGGTTGGCAGGCTGGACCTCCAGGAAAGAGCTGCAGCTCGAGGAGTCTGAAGACAGAATTCCTTCTTGCTCAGAGGTCAGTCTTTGTTTTTTTAAGGCCTTCCACTGTTTGGATGAGGCCCATTCACATTACAGAGGATAATCTGCTTTACTTGAAGTGTGCTGATTTAAATATTAATCTCATCAAAATTTAAAAAGGACAGTGAGATGCCACAAAGAACAAAACAAAAAAAGTGTTTCGATTACTCCATAATTATTCATGCATGATATACCAGTTACAAGTGCCTGGTACCTAGTACATGTTCAATAAATATTCACTATTATTATTAAATATATGATAATCTACTATAAATAGGACATAAAATCTATGCTCCTTTATATATATATATATATATATATATATATATATACTTTATATATACTTTACATATATATACTTTCTTGATGATGACATATAAAGGTACCCTGACAACCTGAAATAGATGCATACATTTCACTGAACTGCTTGATAGGTGGGAAGAACAAAAAAAAATTTTTAAGTATTTACTTCTTTTATGAAGTTATATTCCCATGACTGTGCTTTATGTATTGGTGTTTCATATAAATATATTGCCTGAACTTTACTCTATGGTGGGATAAATATAAACTTTGAAATTTAAATATATTCATGCCCTGGCAAACACAGTTGCCTTTGTTGGTGTTTACTATTGTCTATAGCCTGGGGGCAATATTGACTCAGGTAAACAAATAATTAGCCTGCTCATTTGAAGTAGGAAGGTGTAATTAATGAATTTGCTTACTGTTCTACCCTGCTGCAGACACACAGCCATTTGGGTCTTTGTTCTTTCATTCTCAGTGTCTCTCTCTCTCTCTCTCTCTCTCTCTTTCGCTCTCTCGCTCTCTCGCTCTCTCGCTCTCGCTCTCACTCTCCATCTACCTTTATCTCCATTCACAATATACCTGCCTACTCTGTTACTCTGGGTTCCAGAAAATATGGCTGCCTATGGTACTTAGTAAAGTGATGAGTCTGAGACACCAGTCAACTTGGCCCAATGCTGATGTTCAAAGGTACATTTTTTAGTTGTTATTTTTTTGGCTGTGCAAGCAGCCTTTTAAGAGCTGCTTTAAAATTGAAGATGAAGATCAGTAAGAATAAATTTGATGTCTGGATGTAGCAGGCTTGCATTAGGACAGAAATTGGCTCTATTACACAATTAACCCTTTCAATTATAGCCTTAATGGGGCTAATTTGCCCATGGCTTTCTTGATCATCCTTTTTTTTTTCTTTTCTTTTTTAAAATTATGTATTGTTCAAGTGATTTTGCTCTAGATTATATAACACTTCATCTAAAATTATTATATAAATCTTTACTCGTTTTAGAAACAATTCTGCTAAAGCACTAGCCCAAGTTGTTCTTACATCAAAATTAGATAGATGTATATGTGAACTCATGGGATCTGTAACCCAAAATAAATTACTGTAGTGGGGCCACTATTTAAAAACAGAGGTGACTAGAGATGTTAAGAATCTTACTTTCCCGAACAGTAGTGAGAAAGACTTGGCTGCATCCTTTGGCAACGTATAGCATGTTAACTAATGTGTCGTTAAGATTTAAACAAGACTCATGCTGGAAACTCAGACGGTTTCAGCAGCCCTATCCTCATTCCACCAGACCACTTTGAAAATAAGATCCGCCAAGAGTTTGAAAGTGGGATAGGAAGAATGTAAGCCTCACCGCTGACTTTTCAGTGCTGTGTAAATCAAAAGGGTTGCCAGCTAGCAGACAGAATGAACAGGAGTCCACAGTGTTGCTGGCAATTACTCTGGTAGGTGTCAAGTCTCAGAGATTGAAATTGTGAGACTGTCCTCACATTAAACAGCAGAAAGGAGAGCATCCTCAGATTTTCTATTGAGTCAATTGGCTGATACCTTTTCAACAACCTGTGGCTTTTGGTTAAAGCTCAGAAAAGCACTTTGTTAGAAAAGTCCATGTTTCATTCATCAACTCTCTAGGCAGTAAATCATAACCAATTGATATTCCTTGAACATCTACTAGGAGCCGTGATAGCATTAATAAAATTGGGTAACAGATTTACCCAAGTATGGAATACAAAAATCTGAAATACAAATCAGAAATACAAAAAGGAGACCAACTTACATGAAAAAAGAAAAAAACGTAGATTTAGGAAGAAAAAAGGGTAGTAGTAAGAAAGAAGCTGTTGCTTCCACCCTAGGGTTCACTGTGGCTACATCACATTGCTGCATCACATTGCCTTGTCAACAAGCCTTGTCAAGATTCTTTTCAGATCCTGAGATCATTTTTATGACAGTTTCTAAGATGCTCTCCTCTCCTCTCTTTCAGAGGGTGGACTCCCCATTCTTCACTCAGCAACCAGAGTTGCTGAAAGGCAGGTCCTACTGATGCTCCGAGAGCTGAAAATGTGAGAAGGTGATGAAACGGACCAGAGTACTCCTCGCCAGCGGGACACAGGGCTTTCCAAGTAGGTAACTATGACAGTGATCATGCCAAGGGACAGAACAGGAGGTCCCCTCTGGGTAAACAGGACATGCTTCTCCTTGTGACCCCTGACTGACCTCCCAAGGGGAAGAGCCAAAGTAATCAGCATCTCTGGCCAGCAAAATCAGCGTCAGCAGCAACTGAGGCTCAGAGAACTCCCTGGCCTGAGGAAGGACCAGAGCAATGATGCAGCAGTGTTTCTAGGCAGTGAATGATAATAATACTACAGAGGCTCATTGATTCTCCTTTTGTTCTCCACTGCCCGTCACATTTTCCTGTGGTAAATATCGATTAGACTGATGGTGATTGGTTATGAAACCAGTTATCCTGCTGTCCTCAAACAGCAAGAGAGTATTTACAACTTACGTGATATATGAAGATGCAAGGCCCTTTTCATTTTAACTGGGTTCCCAATTAGGACAGAGAATGTTGAGTGGCTGTTGTGGTTTTGTGGGCTTGTTTTTAGCACAGAACTTTCGGCAATCACCATGAACACCTTCCTTATAAATATGGTAAATAAATAAGGAAGGAAGACTTTGGGGCAAACTGGCATTGGTATCATTTAATTTCTTCTGTGTTTCCAGCCAATTAAATGAATGGGTGTCTGTGGTAATTAAATTCACTTTGATAATTAGGCACTAAGGATTCTTAACTTGCTGAATGTTAATGAATATTTCCCAAGTATGGCCCCTGTATCCTCTAAGTACTGCCAAATGGAGTCTTCCTGATCATCATTAAAACCTAGAGTTCTTTAAAAACAGTTCCACATAGATAATTGAAACTAGAAACAGAAATTTGGTTTTGTTGCTTTTCTTTATGACTCTGGGCAGGTTGATGAAATTTGAATTGAAAACAAGTTTTATTATAAGTGAAACATAGTTGAACTCAATCCTTGGAACTTGAAAGGCCACATATAGCAGTGCACACATTAAAGCCATAGACAGGAAATAACTCCTGCCTCACCGCAGCTGCCTACAAATAGATAACTCATCAATGCCACACTCTCTTTGCTAATGATTTGAGGCTAAGGCAGACAAAAGTTCTGGGCCATCTTGGAGGTGTGCTTTCCACACAGAAATGTACAATGGTACCATTCTGGGTTTTCCACCAGTAGATGAGCCATATGGAGCATTTTTATCTGGAAACTATGACCCTTTTTTTTCCTTTGACCCCATCAAATAACTTTATTCACACAAACATCCCTTAATTTACAAAGCCTCAGTCATTCATACACATGGGGCAGATCCACAGTGTTCAAGGAATTTAAATATAATGTATCATACCAACCCAACTAAACCAAGTACAAAATAATTCATACATAAAGTTGTTCCAAGTAGGTCCTAGCTTACCAGCTTCTGTGAAAAAAATAAAGAAAAATAGATTGATTGATTACCTAGTCTTTGAAACTAACCTTGTGCCTAGGTTGAAACCTCCTTCACATCCATGTTGGCCCTACATGAATGTAAATCATTGCAACATACTCCCCTTGCTCTGATGGAAAGAGGTGCCTGGAGCACAGAAAGATTTCTTTAAAATGTCCCTAAATAAACTCCCTTCCTCCTGTGGCCTCTCATGGAAAAAGACGTGGAGGCCTTCTTGCCGTTAGCCCCCACAAGTCTTAGGGGCCCTGGGAGCTGATGGCCATGGACTCATCCCTCAGCTGGGATGCTGACGTTAGCCAACCTCAAGGCACACTCCTAGTCCCTCCACCTCTCAGAGCATCTTGCCAGACAGGAGCCCCTGCCATCTGAGCTCTTGATAATTTGTCCCTCAGGCTTGCAGTGCAAACCAGTAAACCAAAACACACTTAGATCAAACACTAATTGTAAACAGTAAGTACTGAAAGAACTATTTCTAGGGCATGGCTTATATACAATTATTTATTTCAAACACTCAAATGTTTCAGGTGTTCAAATATTTATTTCAGATATTCCCAAAGCCCCTCTTACAGAATCTTCCTTAGAGAGGGAAAAAGGGGATGGAACAGGGAATTAGTGTTTCTTGAGTATCCTTTATGTCCTAGGCCCTGCACTAGCTCCCCACATATCATGATTCCATCACTGAAAAGTCATGGCATATTGATGGGGGAAGGTTGCTTCTTCTTGTTTTACTGGACAAAACTACATGAGGCATTAGAACTAATACAACATATTCTACATTATACAAATCTATTATTTAAATCAGCAAATTCACACTCAGTCACTGAAGTCAAACCTAGCCTTGCCATTTCAGTAACATGTTGAAGGGACCCCTCTGAGCCTTGAGTATTTCTTCATAAAAGGCAGACAATAATCCTGTCGATGAGGGTTGTTGGGAGGATTAAGCTTGATAACAGGGGGGAATAAAACCATAGCATGGGATTTCCCTGGTGGTCCAGTGGTTAAGAATCTATCTTCCAATGCAGGGGACGCTGGTTCGATCCCTGGTTGGAGAACTAAGATCCCACATTCCATGGGGCAACTAAGCCCGCACACACTGCAACTACTGAGCCTGCACGCTCTGGAGCCCATGCACCACAACTAGAGAGAAGCCCGTATGCCGCAACGAAAGATCCCATGTACCACAACTAAGACCCATCACAGCCAAATAAATAAAATTTTTAAAATGTGTTTAAAAAAATAGCACATTTCCTGGTATTTAATAAATGCCACTTTCTCCTTTTCCTTTCTCCTTCTTCATAGATTAAGAAATATTCACCTCCCTAGTGAGTGGATGGAATGGAAAACAAAAACAAAAATAACACTTTTTAGTAAGGAAACCTATAAGCTCCCTTAATAAAATTCCAATCCTCCAAGGTTGGCCCTAGAGATTGTTTTACTCCAGCCATTTCATCCATATTCCACATAACAGGGGCAGAACTGAGGACATCCCAGCTAGAGGAAAGAGCAGAACCAAGCCATGCTTTCTCCCTTTAGGTGCATTTTTTCAAAGCTCCAATAACACTTGTGCTTACATCCCATCAGTCAGAGCTTAGTTATATGGCTTCGCTTAGATGCAAGGCAGCCTGGCTAGTATAGTTTTTATTCATGCAGGCCATGTGCCAGCTAAAAGACAGGCTCTGTTAAAGATAAAGAAGGATACTCTTTGCCACAAAAGAGTCAAATTGTACTGTTTGCCACAGAAAGTCATTACAAACTTCAAGATAAGAAGTGTTAGTGTCTTGGATGCTGGATATATTTTGAAGGTAGAGGCAAACAAATCTGTTGATTGATTGAATGTAGAGTGTTAGAAGAATCAAGGATGACTCCATGGTTTCTGGGTTTGAGCATTGAAATGTCAGAGTTGTCTTTTATAGAGTTGGAAAAGACAGCAGTTTTTGTGGTGGGCTAAACCAGGGTTCACTTGGGGGCTTGTGGTTTGAGATGCCCATTATTGTATACACACCAGGGAGACAGGTGATATGCAAGAGTTCTGAAGGAAAGTCTGGGATGGAAAATTGATGTGAAAATCATCAAGGAATAGAGGGAGAGTTTCCAGGTCTGACCATGAGAAGCTAATGTTTAGAGATCTAAGCTAATGTTTAGAAGAAAGAAGAAACAAACAAAAGACACTGAGGAGAAGCAACCAGTGAAATAGAAAAAAAGTGAGTGTGGTGGATTGGTGGTGGAAGCATGTGGAAGTTCCTCTGTGGTATTTTTCTTTTTGGAGGGTTGGGGGATAAGAAGCAAAGCAACAGAAGGATGGGAGATAGAGGAGGGTGTGCTAGAGGTTTGAGGATAGAGAAGAAGGTATGAAATAGCTGTGGAGGGATTGGACAGCGTACCTGTTCGTTGCTGATCGCCATGGTGGTGGTGTGATCGTTTAAGTAAGCCTTGGGAACACAAAGCATCCACAGAGGAAGAGAAAAACAGCATCTTGGGAAGAGTTCTTATCTTTGGAGCAAGAAGAAGAAGAACCAGTGAATGAAACAGAGACAGATCCATCAAAGAAAAAATCAGAGATCTCAAGAAGAGAAAATGTTTAAGGCAGGACAACACATAACGTAAGAGTATGGATTAGGGAGTCATATTCAAATCCCACATTCATCTCTTTCTGGCTTTGTGACCCTAAGCAAGTAACTCAGCATCCCTCAACTTTACTTTCCGCATTTGTAAGATGGGAAAAATAATAGTACCTGTATGATAGCATTATTGTGAGGATTACATGAGCTATTGTTTATAAAGTACTTAGAATAATGCTGGCTCATAATAAGCCAGCGTTATTATCAGAATTGAGGCAGAAGGGGAGTTGCCAAATGGCCACAGTCAATCTAAATGATGTATGTTGAAAATGGAAATGACCATATTCTCTTTCTCTATAGTGGGAACATGTGCCGTTCCTGGGCTGATGTTTCTGAGTGACACATTCACATATTTCAGTGCCTGAGCTCCCTGTCTGTTCTTGCTTGGCTTTCCTGAGTCATTGGCAATGATTTTGTGCAGAATTTTTCAGGCCAGAGATGTCTTGTTTGAGACTCTGAATTCACCAACCTTAGGATCACCATCTCCAGACTTCAAGATATTCCATTTTCTACTGTTTAAATCATTCAATTTGGGGTTCTCTGCTACCTGCAGTTCAAATTATTCTGTCCAATATGCGACGGAAACAAGGCCCTCCTTGATCAGAGTAAGAATACATTGAATCACCTTGTACTTTTTTGATACTTGGAATATTACAATAGAAGGCTCATCTTTGTCTTAATTTTTAACAATTATATACAAAATTCTCAAAGGCAATAAATTCCAATATAGTTTTAGAGATATTCAAAAGTTAAATTTACTGTTTTATGATGCAACTGAAAAAAATTCCCAGATGTCTTGATATGTCTTCATTGTTCCCATAATAAATGACTTCTTTAATATATTCAGATGACTTACATTTCAATTAAGATATAATACCTACTTTATAGAAAAAACTTTCACCTATTTGCCTTTATGTTGTTCCTAAATTAATGATTAAAAACTTCTGGTTTCAGCTCGGAGATGTAGAAAGCTGTAAAGAATTTTATTCCCACCCTTACAACAAGAAAAAAGCTGGACCCATCAGAGAACTGAGGTTTCAGGGCAAACAAATAACCTCAAATATGGAGAGAGACAGATGGCTTTAGGGATAAATAGCACCTGAGCTTTTATTTACCTGTGGCAGATTCTGCCAGTCTCCACATAAGACAGTAAGAAGATACAGCTAAAATGTTTCCAGAAATTGCTAGAGGCTGAGTGTGGGCTAGTGTGAGAATGTAAAACCTCTGGGTGTGGCAGATATAGAGGTGTTTGCGCATTCTTGCTGGTAGTGCTCACAGGAAAGACTTGGAAGAATCCTGAGAAAGCTTTTTTCGTGGCGCTGACGAGAAAGGGAACAGCAGCCACTGCCCAAACTCTGGCCAAACCCATCTCCTCTATCTCGATTCCAGGAGTGAAAGGCTTCATCTGCTGGGAAAAGAGCAATGAAAACTGTCACCTTAGGGTACTGATGGAAACCCCCTGCACCTGGGGAAGAGCACAGAAAAGAAGAAGCATCCTTCCTCTGGGAGTCATACTATATGAGTATTTCTATTTCTCCTATGGAGAGAAATAACTTCAAGGTCCTGCTCTGCAGCTGAGTGGGCAGAGTGCTTGGGAAGGCCATCTCCCAGACCCAAGGACAGAGCTCTGCCTGAGACTGAGGCTTAATCAGAACATCAGGGAATGCTCCCCCCTCCCCATCTCCCATCTCCCAACCAGGCTAGCAAGCTTAGAGTAAAATAGCAGTGGAATACAGCTGGGAGAGCTGCAGGAGACTGATCCTTGTGAGGCAACAGCGCAAAGGGAAGATGAAAGCCCAAGGAGGGAACAGACATGGAAAGAAGAACCTCTGTCAAGCTAGCCAACACTGTAAACACAAGGTGTCACTACAGGAATTTTAATCTTAGAGTAACCATAGGAACAACAAACTCCAAACTCTGCCGAATTCCTGGACAGATTAATACAAACCCCATACTTAAGGTCTAGCTGAAGAAAATGGATGCTCATTTCCAACTATAAAAAATATTTACCCCAGGATCTATAGCCCTACACAAGATGTCTGGCTTTCAACAAAAAAAAATTCTAAGGCAGGTGAAAGTGCAAACACACACACACACACTCAAAGAAGAGTCAAAGCAAGTATCGGGATCAGACTGGCTATGACACAGACACTGGAACTATCAACAGAGAATTTTAAGTGATTAATATGTTATTTGCTCTAATAGAACAAAGAAGGTGACATGTAATATCAGATGAGTAATTCATCAGAGAGATGAAAACTATAAGAAAAATTCAAATGAAAATACTGGAAGTAAAAGAATCAGTAACAGATACAAAGACCTCCAACAGTCTCATCAGTAGACTCAGCACAGCCAAGGAAGGAATCTGTGAATTTGAGGATGGGTGAGTGGAAATTGACCAAACTGAAAAACAGAAAACAAAGAATGAATAAAAAGGAATGGGACACCTAATAGTGTGGAACAATTTCAAACAGTGTTAACATATACACATGGAGAAGAGGGCAAAAATAGAGCAGAAGAAATATTTTTTAAAATAATGGCAGAAAATTTTACAAAATTAGTAACAGACGTGAAATCACAGATCCAAGAAGCTCACAGAACACCAAGCAGGATAAATATCAAACACACCCATACACACACCTAGGCATAATGGTATTCAGATTTCTGAAAATGAGAGAGAAAAAAATCTTGAAGTTAGCCAGAAGGGGAAAATAATCTTCTCTACAGAGGAACAAGCATGAGAATTAAAACAGACTTCTCATCAGAAGCTATTCAAGCAGAAAAAAAAAGTAGTGACCTATTTAAAGTATTGAGGAAAAATGTCAACCCAGAACTCTACATCTAGTAAAAAAAAGAAGTGAAAGAGAAAAAAGCATTCTGAGACAAAAACTGACAGAATTGCCAGATATACTCTATAAGAAAATACTAAAGGAAAAGAAGAAATACTAAAGGCAGAAGAAATACGAAATCAGTCGGAAACTTGGATCTACACCAAAAAAAAAAAAAAAAAAGAGAAGAGAATAAGAACTGGGATGAATGAAAATGAGATAAAATGTATTTCTTATTCGTAAATGTGCTAAAAGATAACTAGCTGATTACATATATGGCACATGTAAAAGTAAAGCGTATGAAAATAATAGCACAAAGGATAGGTAGGAAGAATTGAGAATACACTGTTGTAAAGGGCTTACATTACTTGTAAAGTAGTATAACATTATTTGCAGGTAGATCAGATTAATTTGAAATGTATATTGTAAATTCCAGGGTAATCACTAAAAATTTTTTTAAAGGTTAATTAATAAGTCAAGAGATAAAATGTAATCATAAAAATACTTAGCTCAACAAAGGCAGAAAGAAAGAAAAATGATGTACAGTACAAATGGAACAAAGAGAAATAGCTAGAAAGAGGTTAGATTTTTTTTTTTTTTTTAGCGGTACACGGGCCTCTCACTGTTGCGGCCTCTCTTGTTGCAGAGCACAGGCTCCGGACGCGCAGGCTCAGCGGCCATGGCTCACGACCCCAGCTGCTCTGTGGTATGTGGGATCCTCCCGGACCGGGGCATGAACCTGCGTCCCCTGCATCGGCAGGTGGACTCTCAACCACTGCGCCACCAGGGAAGCCCGAGGTTAGATTTTAATGCAATATTAATAGTCACTTTAACTGTGAATGGTTTAAATATAGCAGTTTAAAGACAGAGATTGTCAGATTGAATAAAAAACAAGACCCAATATGTGCTGCTGACAAAAAAATCATTTTGAATATAAAGACATAAATTTATGTCTAAATATTTAAAGCTTAATCATATAAAATATGCAATATATATATTGAAATATAAAAACTCAAACTATTAATAAAATAAATCATTAACTTCATAGGCACTTATTCTGTGCCATATACATATGCATTTTACATATACTTATGCATTTTACATCATCCCAGTATACTATGAAGCACTTATTATCCTTCATGTTAGAAATGAGAAAACTGTGACTTAAAAAAGTAATGTGTCCAATGTTTCTTACCTGATAACTGGCAGGTGGGATTAAAACCTAGGCTGATTAGAAATCCTACACAGTGATTCACTATTTGAAACTGCCACTACAGATAGCTTTTGGTTATGAGTTTAGTAATGCCTCTGAGTCTATTGGCCAAGAATGATCTCACAATACTTTCTGTTTCTTCTGAGTTCATGCCTTGAATAATTTTGAAAACAGGTTTGTTTTATTATAGAAAAGGAGGAGGGGAGAAGATAGCATGACCTCAATTTGAAATAGTTACAATCTCACATGCCAATATTTTATAGGTCTGTAATTGCATGTTTATAACTTTTTAACTATCCAATTTTACTTTGCCCCGTGATCTTAAATTCTCATGCTTTCAAATTTTCTGAACATGAATTCACATAATACTATTTATCTTACTCTTTTCTTAATACTCTTCTGTTTGGAAAATAAATATTGGCTAGAACACCACTTACCTTGGCAATATCCAAGTTTCTATAAACTTACCATAGGTATCGATTTTTTAAACACCTTATCTATTGCTTGTATACATTTTGAATCCATTAAGCTATATAAAAATATCATGTAAAGATAAAGCCAGGAACTGGAAGTAATTTTCTGGAAAGCTTTGAGTACTGCCAACATATGTTTCTATAAGAAAAAAATTAGATTAATAGGATGTTTTTATTTAAATGTTAAAGTTGTAAACTTTATATTTTACAGTTTTACTTTAGGTATGATTGCCTGAATAGTCAGCATAGAACAAAATCCTGTGTTCCTTCCTTGGTAGTCACAAGGGTGTATTTGGAATGGAAAGCTTCAGATTCATTTTAGCTACAGACAGTTGTTGTAAAGAATACTAAAAATGGTCATAAAGCAATTGGTAACAATAAAGTGTATCTGGAGCAAACTGGCTTCAATAGCACATACCACCCATTGTAAGTACCAGTATCAGTTTCAGCAATAAGTAAATGGGTATGAACTAGAGCAGCTGTTAAATTTTAGTCAGAAATGCTAGACACAAGTTGGGAGTGAGAGAAGAAAACTTGGAGAAGAATGCGTCATCCAACTGACAGTGGGGCCTGTCTTGTATAGCAGACTGGATACTACTCCCCACCCTGGAATTCCTCTAATGCCTAAAGTCAATCTTCCAGTTTTTCTGATTGATTTCAGTGTCCAGGTAGAAAATAAATACTTGGCTGTGCTCTTTTGCCCCTAAATCTACCATCATGCTCCATTTCATTCACTAGAGGGAATAACAAATGAGAGCCAAAGAGCAATAGACATCAGCCTGATTTCTCTATAGCTCAGAAGAATAACTGATGAGCTGTTTCCTCTCACTGCCCCATGACATAAACAAATGCCACACGTCTATTCGTCTTGGCTTTCAACCTTGTATATGTGATTCTCACCAGAAACATTTTCTTCTGTTGGCAGTTGAATAAAACCCTTTTGCATATGTTTGTACATAACATTGTAACAATATTATTTTATACTTATTAGTGCTTATTATCTGTCAGGCATTGTAAACCCATTTTAGGGATATCACCTCATTTAATGTTCACAACAATTCCCTGAAGGAGGTTTTATGTTATGACTGTTTTATGGGTGAGGATAGTAAGAATTAGAAAAGTTAAGTATCTCCTCCAAGAGTACTCAGTTAGTATGTAGTAAGCTTGGATTGAAATCTAGGTGCCCATGTGACATTTGAACTGCAATCTGGAACCCAAGAACCAATAGGAACAAATGCACCGATGGGGAGTGGTATAACTAGGACCACACAGTAGGTTTAGCCAATAAGTCATTTTGTGTGACTGAAACTTAGGTCATGAGTGAGGAAAGGATGACTTTGGGAGAGACAGACTGTGAAGCCTTGTCAAGACTGGTTTTTCCAGCAAGTCATGGGCAAGCTCATTGGCCATAGAAAGTCACTGGATTTTTGAGAGTTTGGCAAGGGCAAGCTGCTTGAAAATGTTTAAAGACGGCTATGATGTGACTGGAATTACAGTTACAATTGGAAGACAATCAGTAGCTTCTTCTCTAGCTCAGATGAGGTATTACAGGTACCTAAATCCTCAAGCAATTTTAATGAAGATGAAAAGTTAGAATTGACAGTGCTTAGACTTACAATGGGATTTGAAGGAGAGAGAGATAAATTCAAGATATTGGCTTTGTGGCCGGGTAGAAAGCAGTGCTATTAAATACGATGAAGAATTAATGGAGGAGGAAAAGACTGCGTATATTTTAGTGCATGCCATGGTTTTTTCCTGGTGGATGTGTCTAGCAGACATTTAGTAATATTTAATAATAGTTCAGTTCATTGGAGAAAGTGAGAAGAGGACGAAAGACACAATTATGAGGACCCACCAGTATATAAGGAGTGATCAGAATATAAAGTGTTGATGAATAAAACTGTGCTTTGTTTACCCCTTGGAGGTAAACAGTCTCCAAAGACGGCCTCCATCAGTTCCTTTCCCAGGAGAAGAACACCACACCACCCGTTAAGCGATGGTGTCTGTTTCCCCTTGCTTTGCATCTGTGCCAGGAATTCTGTCTCCACTCATGTCCAATTTTGGTCCAAATTTGAAAAAACAGCTTTTTACTCACATTTCATTCAGTTGGAAATTTTAGCTCCTTGAAATTTGTGGCTTTGTTGGGATTGAGGAAATGTATTTTACAGCTCTCCTGTGGCCCTACTTTAAGTTTATATTTTATAGGTAGGTTGTTTCTGGTGCATTCTGCTTGGGAAGTGGTAATGGTTTGTGTTCAGGGGCCAGTCGAAAGCCACGCGAACCTTAGAGATATTTTTCTCTAAATAATGTTTTCAGATACTATTTCTGAATGTCAGGGGTTGAATTCTAGTGTCACAGGTTCAAAGGCCCTCATCACATATATACACATACATATTGTTTGAGCTTTCTGTTTGGGAAAATGATTCGGTTTAACCCAGATTGCTTATGAATAATTTCCAGATTAGAACAGGCTATGGGAGCAGTTGTTGGGCTCAATATCTGTTGAAAAAAAAAATTGGTTTCTTGAAAAGAAAAAAAATAAGCCACTGAAGCTATTTGCAGATTTCAATTTATGTGTGAAAATGGGAAAAGCAGTATTTAATTTCTTAATGGAAACCTGTTTCCAACCTGAAGAGATCTGTGGAATAGACCTGATACCACTGGAACAAAGACAATCTTTATAAAAGGGAAGAGCAGTGGAGTCGGTCTACCTGAGGAGCCAATCTGGCAATTAACTCAGCTACTTATACAAAATGACACACTTGGCTTTAGGGTAACATTCACATTTCTTTTTGATTCTCTATTATTTTTGGTCACGCTTCTTCCCACTTATTTCAAATAATTAAAATTTTACTGTAATTCCACTTGCTAAAAGATGTTTAACATGTTACATTTTCAGTTCAAAAAATTTTCAACAAGGCTTGGTTTTTTCACATTCACATTTTTTTTTTTTTTCAGTCATGTCTGGCTTATCTTCTGAATCAGGAAAACTAATGCCATCTCTTACCAGGGACACTGCAGAAATAGAATGATTGATATTACTTGGCACCTACTGTGCTGAATGCCTGTAGTGGAAGGCTGTGGATCAAAGGCAGACCCAGGAAGGCTGATAATTAGTATACTGAGCTCATAACCAGACGGCCATTGTTCTGATGCAAACAGATAGGCTGTGTATGTACTGAAACTAAAATACAGAACACAGCCTGAGCAAGGATTAAACAACACTGTATTCTTTCTTCCGTTGTGATTTCTGGACATCACAGTGCCTCCATCACAAAAGTACATCTAAGCAGGTACTTCAGTCATGGGCCCTCTGGTTTTCACATGTGGTTCTGTAGGTAAAATTATGAGCTATAGATAATAGGCAGATGCATAATGTTTCAATGATATGGGCACATATATGGCTTATGTCTCTATTAAATCCATCATATACATTTATGCACAGGAATATGTTCAAATAGAGAGGGAGAGAGTAGAGAATGAGTGTTTTTATTGCCAATTTCAGCAAAAGTACAAAGTACTTCAAAGTACATAAGTCATTTCAACTAGCATTACATAGGTCAACACAGGATAAGAGTAGACAATTGCTACTGATTTCCAGTAAACCCACCAAAAAAAACCTCACAAAAATAGATACTAAAGGGACAAAATGAGCAGGTTTGAGACCAGACAATTCACACCTGATTTTAAATGATTTTGATTGGTTTATGAAGAAATTCAATTCATATCTCAAGGCATTTGTTATCAACATTATAAACCACTACATTATACTTTAAAACACGTCAGATGCTAGGAGTGGGGAGGGCAGGTCCACAGTGTGCTTGGGGAGGTGTGTGGGGGGGTGTGTGTGAGAGAGATAGAGAGAGAGAGAGATTGATTCTTTGGTGTTTTTGAACATACGTTGCTGAGGTAGAGGAGCCTTGGTTGAAGCGTTAGTAACTTTCAGGACTTTGTTGAAAACTTGCCCTGAAGGACAAAGGTATATTTGATGATGAATACTTACGA